TAAGAACTTGTTCGTTATGCTTCAGAAGATTGGAGACTGACGAGAATTAGACTTGAGATGGATTAATGATTGTACATTGAGCATTGACCCCCCTATACTGAATTTTATTGTTGTTAACAACCATTTGATCAATAAATATGAGAGATGCCCTCTCAAAAAAAAAATAAAAATAATAAAAGACAAAAAAAAAAAGGGGGGGGGTCTTACAGGATTCAGTTTATAGGCTATAATTTGGTGACTGACAGTGTAAAAAATTTATTTATGTTCTAGAATGCTAAAAACCTTACCTATTTTAATGAATCGACAAGGGAACATCTGTTCATCAATTTTATGCTTCAAGGTAAATGTTTCTTTGTTATAATCATTCTTTAAGCCACTGGGGGGAAAAAAATACAGTTATCAAATGTGACTTCATAATTTAGTAAACATACTAAAGAAATCATACTCAAATCTTAAGGTTACACCAGTGCTCAAAATGTATAATCAAGACAATGTAAAGAAGCAGCTGAACATGAGACTATAGGTCAAAACTTATACATTCTCATCAACTGCATTATAACTATGTTTTCTTAACTATATGAGAACTAATAAAAAATATTCAGTATTAATTAAAGAGTGTGGCTACAGTGCATGGAAAGATGTGATAGGGTCAAGTGTCCCTAATGCATAACTAAATATAACAAAATATTTAAGCAATAGGAAGAAAATGAAAAAAACAAGTCACACTCATATCTGACAAGTTAAACAGAGCCATATATTAGAATTTGTCAGAAAATTAAGTTTTTCAATTCTGATTAAGATACCAATGTTCCTTTTATAGCTCAATAAATTTTCAGACCACCTTACTCCATTGGTTTAATAGCATCCATTTTACTCTAAGTAAAAATAACCCATATCACCTCTCCATGTAAACAACTAGGATTGACACAAGTATTTATGGGAAACTCACTTGCTTTCAGGTTGTCTCATATCCTAAAATACTTTCATAACTTAAATGCTATATAGATGTAATATTTACTTATACAGAGTTTTGTGCTATGGTACTATACCATGTCACAAAATACTCTGAAACAATATGGCTTTACTGTCCATTACACTGACTATCTGATTTTTCATTACCTAACAGCCAAATTAACATTTTCAATCCTGGTGGTCTATGTTGCTAAAAAACTCAAAATTTACTGATCCAAGTGGCAGGCACTATGCTAGGTCCAGTCACATACCTTTTATCTTTTTAGTCTCCACATTATAATAGACTCTCAGAATTTATTACTTCTGGATTAGGGCAATCAATCTTAATGCTTTGGAAAGAGTCCATACTTTCATAGCAAAATTTTTTTTAACCTGAAAGTACTTCTGACATTACCAACAGTTCAAAAATAAGACTGAAAGGAAGTAGGAAAAAAAAACCCAAATAATTATATTCTTTTTTCATAATAATACTAATTAGTAACTGATGGTTAAAAGGAAATCTAACTCAAATCACAATATTAAAATAAAATACTAGAAATAGAATGTAGGAATATTCTTTTCTTCCTTGAAAGAAAAATCAAACCTGTAGATTTAGCTATAAAAAAACTAAACTAAGACTGCAACTTGTTCAGAAGACAGCTTTTTCCTCCCCATAATGATAACTCACCTGGACAACAGCTCTGTCATATTCTCTTCATTCATTCCACCAAACACTTTAAATTTCTTCAAATTGCAGACATGAGTTTTCTCATATTTTCCAAATGTAATATTCTGGACTATGGCTGGTCTTTCAAGCTTCAGAATCAAGTACTAAAAAAGAAATGACCAAATCATATCCTCCTCTGTTCAAAACAAATAGTTAAGACAACTTTAAAAGTTCAAACTTTGGACAAGTACAGAAGGATGTGTAAGCTCCATCCTGTCCATCCTGTACTGGCAGACTTCTTTTTTCTTAATGCTGAAGAACATTAAGAACAACAGCCTTATATAGGTTACCATACCATCATCACTTTTCTCCAGGAAACTACATCATCCTCAACAGTAATTGAACAGGTAGAAAAAAAAGGACTAGTGAGATGACTTCTAATTAAGGCATAACATTCAATAAAAGATAAAATAATCTATGAATAAGCAAATAAAACAAGATTAGAATGCAAAAGTAATAATTACATATTCTCATCAACTACATTTAAATAGCAAATTCAGTTTGAAATGAATGATCTTTTCAAATCAGAGATTTTGTTCTGATTTGAAAACATATATGCACCCCAATGTTTACTGCCACATTACTTACAATAGCCAAGATATGGAAATAAGACATGTCCATCAATAGATGAATGGAGAAAGAAGACATGGTACATATACACAATGGAATATTATTCATCCACAAAAAAGAAATACTGTCATTTACAACAACATGGATGGACTTCAAGGGTGTGCTAAGTGAAATAAGCCAGGGGAGAAAGACAAATACCATATGATTTCACTTTAATCTATTACACAGAGCCTGTCAGGCAAAAAGGCTTGTGAAAAATGAACACCACTGTGTATCCAACATAGGAACACCAAATATGTAAAACAAATACTAACAGAATTAAAGGGGGAAATAGACTGCAACATATTCATGTTAGGAGACTTTAACACACCACTCACATCAATACATCAACCAGACAGAAAATAAATAAGGAAACAGAGGCACTGAACAATATATCAGATCAAATGGACTTAAAAAGGTATCTACAGAACACTCCACCCAAAAGCAGCAAGATACAAATTTTCTCAAATGTACATGGAACATTCTCCAGAATAGATCACATACTAGGCCACAGAAGAGCCTCAATAAATTCAAAAAGACTGAAATTATATCAAGCAGGTTCTCAGACCCCAATGATATTAAACTAGGAATAAATTACACAAAGAAAAAAAAAAAGACCTACAAACACATGGAGGCTAAACAACATGCTTCTAAATAATCAGTAGATCCATGATCAATTAAAACAGAAATCAAGCAATACATGGAGACAAATGAAAACAAAAACACAACAGCCCAAATCTGTGGGTGGCGGCAAAGGCAGCTCTAAGAGGAAAGTACATAGCAATACAGGCTTACCTCAAGAAACAGGAACAATCATAAACAAACAGACTAAAATCACAACTGAAGAAACTAGAAAAAGAACAAATGAAGCCCAAAGTCAGTAATAGGAGGGACATAACAAAGATCAGAGCAGAAAAAAATAAAATTAAGAACAAAACAATATAAAAAAAAATCGACGCAACTAGGGGCTTGTTCTTTGAGAAAATTAACAAAATAGAAAAACCCCAAGCCAAACTTATCATACACCACAGTAACAAAAAGAAGGATAAAAACCACATAATCATCTCAATAGAGGATGAAAAGGCATTTGACAAAATTCAACATCCATCCATGATAAAAAACTATCAACAAAATGGGTATAGAGGGTATGTATGTCAACATAATAAAGGCCAAAGAAGACAAACACATAGCCAGTTACGGTACTTAATAGCAAAAAGCTGAAGCTTTTCCTCTAAGATTGGGAATAAGACAAGGATGCCCACTCTCACTTCTATTCAACATACTACTGGAGGTCCTAACCACAGCAATTAGACAACACAAAGAGATAAAAGGCATCTAAATTGGTAAGGAAGAAGTTAAACTGTCACTATTTGCAGGTGACATATTATACATAGAAAACCCTAAAGAACCCACCAAGAAACTATTAGTACTATTAACTGAATTCAGCAAAATTGCACAATACAAAATTAATACACAGAAATCTGTTGCATTCCTATATACTAACAACAAACTTGCAGAAGGAGAAATCAGGAAAACTCCATTTACAGTTACAAAAAAAAAAATCCTAGGAATAAACCTAACGAAGGAGAACCTTTACTCTGAAAACTACAAGACACTCATGAGAGAAATTAAAGAAGACACCAGTAAATGGAAATCTATCCCATGCCCATGGATAGGAAAAATTAATATAGTTAAAATGGCCATCCTGCCCAAAGCAATATACAGATTCAATGCAGTAAGTATCAAAATATCAACAGCATTCTTCAACAAACTAGAACAAATAGTTCTGAAATTCATATGGAACCACAAAAGACTCCGAATAGCCAAAGCAATCCTGAGAAAGAAGAACAAAGCTGGGGGGGATTATATTCCCCGACTTCAAGCTCTACTACAAAGCCACAGTAAGCGAAGCGATTTGTTACTGGCACAAGAACACACCCATATATCAATGGAACAGAATAGAGAGCCCAGATATAAACCCATGCATATATGGTCAGTTAATATGCAATAGAGGAGCCATGAATATACAATAGGGAGAAGACAGCCTCTTCAACAATTGGTGTTGGGAAAACTGGACGGCTACATGCAAGAGAATGAAACTCGGTTACTGTCTAACTCCATATACAATAGTAAGTTAAAACTGGATCAAAGACCTGAATGTAAGAAATGAAACCATCAAATTCTTGGAGAGAAAACACAGGCAAAAATCTCTTGAATATAAGCATGAACCGTTTTTTCCTGGATATATCTCCTCGGGCAAGGGAAACAAAACAAAAAATGAACAAGTGGGACTACGTCAAACTAAAAAGCTTCTGTACAGCAAAGGACACCATCAGCCTAACAAAAAGGCACCCCACAGTATGGGAGAATACATTGATAAATTACTCATCTGGATAAGGGGTTAACATCCAAAATATATAAAGAACTCATATGCCTCAACACCCAAAAAACAAATAGCCTGATTAAAAACTGGGCAGAGGACCTGAACAGACACTTCTCCAAAGAAGAAATGCAAGCAGCCAACAGGCATATGAAAAGATGCTTCACATCACTCATCGTCAAGGAAATACAAATTAAAACCAGAATGAGACATCACCTCACACCAGTTAGAATGGCCACCACCCAAAAAACAATAAACAACAAATGCTGGTGAGGATGCAGAAAACAGAAACGCTCTTATACTGTTGGTGGGAATGCAAATTGGTGCAACCGCTGTGGAAAGCAGTATGGAGGTGCCTCAAAAAACTAAGAATAGAAATACCATTTGACCCAGTAATTTCCACTTCCAGGAATTTACCCAAAGAAAACAAAATCCCTGATTCAAAAAGATATATGCACCCTTAAGTTTATTGCTGCACTATTTGCAAATAGCCAAGATATGGAAGCAACCTAAGTGTCCATCCATAGATGAATGGATAAAGAAGATGTGGTACATATACACAATGGAGTATCATTCATCCATAAAAAGAAAAGAAATCCTGCCATTTGCAACAACATGGATGGATCTAGAGGGTATTATGCTCAGTGAAATAAGCCAGGTGGAAAGGCAAATCCTATACGATTTCACTTATTTGTAGAATATAAAACAAAGCAAAACAGAAGGAACAAAACAGCATTAGACTCATAAGACACTGAGAAGTGAGTAGTGGTTACAAAGGAGGAGGGGTGGGGATAGGTGTGGGGGAAGGGGGAGGGAATAAAAGGGCACAATGATTCTCAGTCACAATATAAGTTGACCACAGAACTGCTAAGCAACTGTGATATACATTTGAAACCAACTTAAGAGTATACATTAATGATGCTTATTAGGAAGGAAGTGATGGAGGGAGGGAGGAAGAAGGGGCGGGGGGGGGTAGAGGAGGAGAGGGGAGGGAAGGGAGGGATGGGAGGGGAGGGGAAAGGGGAAGGGAGGGGAGGGGAGGAGAGGAGAAGAAAAGAAAGAAAAGGGAAAGGGAAGAGGAAGGGGAAGGGGAAGGGGAAGGGAAGGGAAGGGAAGGAGAGAGAGAGAAGGAGAAAGAGAAAGGACGGGAAAGGGGAAGAGAAAGGGGAGGGAAGGGAAGCAAAGAGAGAAAAGAAAGATAAAGGGAGGGAGGGAGGAAAGGAAAGGAAAAAGGGAAGTTGGAAAGTAAAGTAAAGTAAGAAGAGCACTGCTGGCGGCTGGTAATAAGCAAGGTGGAGAATGGTATGTGTTGAGACTGAAGAGGCAGGCAGTCACCAGATCAAGCAGGGCATTCTATGCCATTATGTGGAGTTTGAATTATAAATGCAATGGGATCTATTAAGCACAATGGAAAGTCAAGATCTGATTAACATTACACACACACACACACACACACACACACACACACACACACACACACACACACACACACAATCTGCTTTGTGGTAAATGGATCAGAGGAACTGGCAGACCAGCAAGAGATGAATTGGTATTGGGAATGGTATCAGGCATGGTAATTGGGAATACCAATGACTCTAATGGGAAGGAGTGGAAAAGAGACAGGACGGAAATGAGACCACAAAAGTGCAGATGAAATATCTATCTATGTCTCAGGCTGTGTAATAAATCACCCCGGTGTCTAAAAACAACAGTGATTTATGACTTCTCATAACTCTGTGAGTTCACTGGACAATTCTTCCAGTGGTATCTACAGGACTCATTCACTTAGCTGTATCAGTTGGTGGGTTGGCTGGGGGACTGGACTTAGTATGGGTGCAGAAGCTGGATTTAGCTAGGATGACTGGGCCTCTCCATGTAGGATTTTAACCTTAAGGAGGCTAGATGGGCATTCTTCAGAGCATCATGGTTTCAAAGTTCTAACAAAGCAAAAGCTAAAAGGCCTCTTCAGACCTTGCTTAGAAGTTGCAATAACAATTTCATAAAATTTTCTTTTGGTCAAAGCAAGTCACAAGGCCAGCCGAGATTCAGAGGGTAGGGGAACAGACTGCACCTCTTGCTGATAGGAGCTGTAATTGTAACCATATTAAGAAATTT